CCCCCCCGCCCCAGGTCAAAAATCTGAGACACCAGACGCAGCAGTGAAAATCTGAAGTCATTTTAACAAACGGGCTAAGGGGCGGGTGGTGGGAGGGTGGATGTACTTGGAAGTGGGTATATTGATTGTTTGCCCATCGATTCTCTCCAACTCCAGAAACAAATGGCGGCTGTTTCTTGTGGGTGGGAGCCTGTACAATCCTTCTCAATTCCATCTGCAACATTTTACGGAGACTGTTTACTTGTCTCCTCCAACCTCACAGTAAGGGCGTTGGTCGCAGGAACAGTGAGTGGCTCCATTCAGCTTGAATCTCGTTCCGATTAATCACCTTACAATTTCTGAGTGAGTTCCAAACCACTTGTAAAAGGCTGTCGCCAGGAAAGCAGCCTGCATTTGAAGAGATGGGGTGCACCTCACTGGGTCTGCTAAACCTGATTCTGAACTAATTTGGAATCAGACAGATCTAAGATAGAACCTGGTGTTGCCCTCGGCTCCTTTCCGTAAACCTCTGTTTTCCCATCTGTGAAATGGGAATCGTAGTCACACCTCGGTAAAAGGGAATGAAAACAGCTTGCTTGCCTGAGAAAATTAAATTAATAACGCACGCGAAGTGCTTTGCCTGGTATCCCACATGAAGTAGGCGTTCTGTAAACCTTACCTTTTAGGACTATTATTAATAGCGATAAGGTCAGCAACCAACAGCAACGGAGGAAAGGCACTCCCTCAAGCTGGCAAGAACATGGGAGAGAGATTTGTTTCAAGGAAAAAGCACTTCTTGCCAGTTTCACAGACGGGAGCATTCCAAGGCCACACAGCGGAGGCTCTAAACAAAAAGCCACAAAGTAGCAAATGGCAGTTGGGTGGGACACCAGGGCTGGGCTGCCCCTCACCCGAGCAGCAAGGAAGGCACGGAAGGCACGCTTATCCTTCAAATGAGTGCTGACCTTGCCCCTCACAGAGAGGGAAGAACAATCAGGCCAAAGGAGGAGACACAGTGCAGGAGACGTGCCAAAAGGGACAGACTGTGGATGACAGAACTGTACCACGAACTGTGTTCAAAAGGAACACTTACTTAGCCATGCATCGGCCTGGAGGTCTGCGGTGACTTGGGAAGGGAGAGGTAAAAACACCCTGAAAGGTCAGGTCTGGGGTCACCTGCGTGGGTCAGCTGGCTAAGCGTCTGACTTCCGCCCAGGTCATGATCTCACAGTTCGTGAGTTCGAGCCCCATGTC